ATATATATATATATATATATATATATATATATATATATATATATATATATATATATATATATATATATATATATATATATATATATATATATATATATATATATATATATATATATATATATATATATATATATGTGAGGCCTCCCGGCCTCACATACAATAGGAGCACTCGTTACTGAAGGCGCAAGATAGAGACATACACTAATGCAGATTAAAGAGAAAATATCAATGACAAAATAAATAGCAAACACAGCATTCAGCAATTTAATAATAAATCACCTTCGACCATCCCGAGTGAACCAGTCAGTCTTTCCAACGTCAGGCAAATGTTGGCAGTCTTGGCTGAGTAGTCTACAAGATGGAGATTGTTATGTGATAGTTGGCCTTACACTGGCTCCATCTACACGTTGTCGTGGTGGTTGTTAACATTCAGCTCCTGGGAACGAAAAGTTGCAAGTAGCACGGGCTATGGTGAGCCCGCAATGGACTTACCTGGCACAGGAGCTGGGCTGTAACTCATCTACCTCATCGTTTACAGGTAAACCCTCCCAAGTATTCTTCTCATCACTGCTCGTCCTCTTCATGCTCCTCTCTACCTGCCACCACATCCCTCACTCCTTCCCATTGGGCCCTACCTCTGCCTCCCATTGTCGAAGGGACGTGATCAGTTTCGAGGGAGTTTTGAACTATTTCCGCTCCGTGGCAGACATGAATCTCCCAGTGCCTCCCAGCCTCCTCCTCCTGACACACCTGGGGTTGTAGTGTCCCATCCCTGTGGTGTTCCTGTGATGTCACCCCCCCCCCTTGCTTGTGACGTCAACACTGCCTGTGACGTCCCCCACTTCCTGTGACGTCCCCCCTGATTGTGACGTTCCCCACTGCCTGTGACGTCCCCCTGCTTGTGACGTCCCCCCTGCTTGTGACGTCCCCCCTGCTTGTGACGTCCTCCACTGCCTGTGACGTCCCCTCTGCTTGTGACGTCAACACTGCTTGTGACGTCCCTCACTGCTTGTGACGTACCCCCTGCTTGTGACGTACCCCCTGCTTGTGACGTCCCCACTTCTTGTGACGTCCCCCTGCTTGTGACGTCCCCCACTGCTTGTGACGTCCCCCACTGCCTGTGACGTCCCCACTGCTTGTGACGTCTCCCACTGCCTGTGACGTCTCCCACTGCCTGTGACGTCTCCCACTGCCTGTGACGTCCCCCACTGCCTGTGACGTCCCCCACTGCCTGTGACGTCCCCCACTACCTGTGACGTCCCCCACTGCCTGTGACGTCCTCCACTGCCTGTGAATGAGTCACATCAAGCAGACGGACCTCACCACCAGACAAGACCTTGTCATAAATCCTCGTTGCTTTTTGTTAGGAGGAAAGTGGCGTGGGGGGGGAGGGGAAGGAAGGAAGGGGTTAGTATGAGGGGGGGAGGAAAGGTGGGGCTAGGGGGAGGTGGGTAGGAGGAGGATAGGTGGGCAGGAGGTGAGTTAGAAGAACTGGGATGCTAACTTGAGTCTGTCATTAACTCCCCTCCACCCCCCCCTTGTTCGGGTCTCTCCTCAATAGTCTCCCTCCTCCCCCTCTTCCCTCTTTCCTCTTTCGTCTCTTATTATTATTATTATTATTATTATTATTATTATTATTATTATTATTATTATTATTATTATTATTATTATTTTCTGCCACAGACGTGGCCTGATATTTACAGTGCTAACCAGAATATATACATTTTCTTCTGTCCTCCATGGACAGGGTGAGAGATCTGTTAAAGATCATACTGGTAGCAGAAAGCTGAGTAAGGAGGCCCTCAGGACGCATCATACAAGAATACACCACTACAATATACTGTAGTCTAAATAAACCAGAATACAACCACAAAAGTTGTGATATTTACCACAACAATCGTCCACGAGGCATGCCAGCGCTGATCTCGCCGGGAAGGGGAAAGAGGTGACATGATCACTACATACAAATTTCTCAGGAAAAAGGTAGTGAGAAAGGAACTGAAAACGAATGTTTATTATTGATGGGTACAAGACAACACAGCCAAGGGGAGGGGGGGAACCAGGGAGGCGGGGCCCTAGAGCTGAAGCTGGCCTTCAAGCACATATATACCGGCACCTTTAACGCCATCAATAATCAACGTTCTAAATATTCAGTATTGAAAATCCAATTGCAATAAATTAATTAAGGAACTCCAATCGAGTAATTAACGAGCATCAGAGGTAATTACTTCAGACATAAAGCAGGAACCTCAAGAGAGGCTGAGGGGGGGGGGGGTTGTTTAGGGGGGCTCACAGGATGGGTACGGGGCCCACTACCACTCACAGGATGGGTATGGGGCCCACTACCACTCACAGGATGGGTATGGGGCCCACTACCACTCACAGGATGGGTATGGGGTCCACTAGCGCTCACAGGATGGGTATGGGGTCCACTACCGCCCACAGGATGGGTATGGGGCCCACTACCACTCACAGGATGGGTATGGGGCCCACTACCACTCACAGGATGGGTATGGGGTCCACTAGCGCTCACAGGATGGGTATGGGGTCCACTACCGCCCACAGGATGGGTATGGGGCCCACTACCGCTCACAGGATGGGTATGGGGTCCACTACTGCCCACAGGATGGGTATGGGGCCCACTACCACTCACAGGATGGGTATGGGGCCCACTACCACTCACAGGATGGGTATGGGGTCCACTAGCGCTCACAGGATGGGTATGGGGTCCACTACCGCCCACAGGATGGGTATGGGGCCCACTACCGCTCACAGGATGGGTATGGGGTCCACTACTGCCCACAGGATGGGTATGGGGCCCACTACCGCTCACAGGATGGGTACGGGGTCCACTACCGCCCACAGGATGGGTATGGGGCCCACTACCGCTCACAGGATGGGTATGGGGCCCACTACCGCTCACAGGATGGGTACGGGGCCCACTACTGCCCACAGGATGGGTACGGGGCCCACTACCGCCCACAGGATGGGTACGGGGCCCACTACCGCTCACAGGATGGGTACGGGGCCCACTACCGCCCACAGGATGGGTACGGGGCCCACTACCGCCCACAGGATGGGTACGGGGCCCACTACCGCTCACAGGATGGGTACGGGGCCCACTACCGCCCACAGGATGGGTATGGGGTCCACTACCGCTCACAGGATGGGTACGGGGCTCACTAGCGCTCACATGATGGGTACGGGGTCCACTACCGCCCACAGGATGGGTATGGGGTCCACTACCGCCCACAGGATGGGTATGGGGTCCACTACCGCCCACAGGATGGGTACGGGGCCCACTACCGCCCACAGGATGAGTATGGGGTCCACTACCGCCCACAGGATGGGTACGGGGCCCACTACCGCCCACAGGATGGGTACGGGGCCCACTACCGCCCACAGGATGGGTACGGGGCCCACTACCGCCCACAGGATGGGTACGGGGCCCACTACCGCCCACAGGATGGGTACGGGGCCCACTACCGCCCACAGGATGGGTACGGGGTCCACTACCGCTCACAGGATGGGTATAGGGTGCATAACCTATGAACTAATCTTAAATAAAGTCGAAACCTCCAAATTTAAGATGACCGATGTAACTCTTGTTTTGAGGGCGGGAGGGAGGGCCTGGGCCAGGGTGGCCCGCAGGGACACCGGGGCCACATCCCGGTGGGTCAATGGGCCGGTGGGCCTCTGGGCCGGTGGGCCTCTGGGCCGGTGGGCCTCTGGGCCGAGGTCGGCAAATGAAGAAAAGACATTTGATATTCATGAAGAATTTGAAGTTGGTGTGCATATTAAAATATGAGACGCGTATTGAAAGCTAAAAGTCAAGATTTGAGCAGAATGGAAGTGAAGGTATGGACCTCGTGGCGGGTCTGGCTGTCCCAGCTACACAGGGAACAAAGACATTTCTTGCCTCATGTTCCACATCAAAAGCTAAGTGAAGTTCTTTGACCAATTGGCGTGGAATTTCCTTGCGAGCAATTGCAAACGGAACTAATCGATTTGTCAATAACATTGTGGCAATTAACAGTTTTGGCAAACAACTGTGACGGGTCTCAGTCACAGGCTCCCCGCGGGGTACACATTGCATATATATTGTCAAGCTGCTCCTGCTAGACCGACAGACTATACAGTAGAGGAACACTGCGAATTACAACACCAGATAAAATTATTAGCAGTAAATAGGTACCTGGGAGTTAGACAGCTGCTACGGGCTGCTTCCTGGGGGGGTGGTGTAATAAAAAGGAGGCCTGGTCGAGGACCGGGCCGCGGGGGCGCTAAGCCCCGAAATCATCTCAGTATAACTTCAAGAAAGGACCAGATTGCTATATGTAAACGATGCCACGACTGTACAGGTTTGACATAGCACCGCTCCTGTGCCAGGTAAGTCCACTACGGACTCACCATAGCCCGTGCTACTTGCACCGCTCCTGTGCCAGGTAAGTCCACTACGGACTCACCATAGCCCGTGCTACTTGCCCCGCTCCTGTGCCAGGTAAGTCCACTACGGGCTCACCATAGCCCGTGCTACTTGCCCCGCTCCTGTGCCAGGTAAGTCCACTACGGGCTCACCATAGCCCGTGCTACTTGCCCCGCTCCTGTGCCAGGTAAGTCCACTACGGGCTCACCATAGCCCGTGCTACTTGCCCCGCTCCTGTGCCAGGTAAGTCCACTACGGGCTCACCATAGCCCGTGCTACTTGGAACTTGTTCCGAGTAGCTGAATCTATAACAACATGTACAGGTTGCTGTTTATTTTACGTTGGAGAGGTAGAGCCTGGACGGCCCGGGCATGCAGGTATCAGCCTAGCTTGTAAATACTTGTCAATACTCCCTACAAGGAGTATTGTGCAAGTATTGATGGCTTGTGGATTTGTTTTTTCAAGTCTGAAGTTTATTAAGACTAGATTTTAAGGAGGACTTTGCTTTCTGGTCATTTGAAGGCATTTATTTTGATGTCAGGGAGAGTGTTTATTCTCCAGGGTATAGACCAAGATGCTGAACCATGACGTGCTAAAAGCATGTCGTGGGTAAGTGGTTTAAGGGGGGTGTGTACCCAGTGTGCAGGTTCGAATCCTCCTCATGGCTCCTATTGATCTTCTCATTGACAGTGTCAACACTCTCCAGGGGTCAAGACGCTGGCAGAGATGGAGGCTGACTCCATACACAGTTTCAAATGTAGATACAATAGAGCCCAATAGGCTCAGGAACCTGTACACCAGTTGATTGACGGTTGAGAGGCGGGACCAAAGAGCCAGAGCTCAACTCCCGCAAGCACAACTAGGTGAATACAACTAAGTGAATACAACGAAAATCAACCTAATATATTAAGGGGAAAACGCCCACTAGATAAAGAGCTCAATGTGGCATTCTTTCCCTCTTACTTAGAACGCGGTCCAGCAGACCCCAGACAGCGGTCCAGCAGACCCCAGACAGCGGTCCAGGAGAGACCCCAGACAGCGGTCCAGCAGACTCAGACAGCGGTCCAGGAGAGACCCCAGACGGCGGTCCAGCAGACCCAGACAGCGGTCCAGCAGACCCAGACAGCGGTCCAGGAGAGACCCCAGACAGCGGTCCAGCAGACCCAGACAGCGGTCCAGGAGAGACCCCAGACAGCGGTCCAGCAGACCCAGACAGCGGTCCAGGAGAGACCCCAGACAGCGGTCCAGCAGACCCAGACAGCGGTCCAGGAGAGACCCCAGACAGCGGTCCAGCAGACCCAGACAGTGGTCCAGGAGAGACCCCAGACAACGGTCCAGCAGACCCAGACAGCGGTCCAGCAGACCCAGACAGCGGTCCAGCAGACCCCAGACAGCGGTCCAGCAAACCCCAGATAGAGGGCCAGCAGATCCCAGACAGCGTTCCAGCAAACCCCAGACAGCGGTCCAGCAAACCCCAGACAGCGGTCCAGCAGACCCCAGACAGCGGTCCAGCAGACCCTAGACAGCGGTTCAGCAAACCCCAGATAGAGGGCCAGCAGACCCCAGACAGCGGTCCAGCAGACCCCAGACAGCGGTCCAGGAGAGACCCCAGACAGCGGTCCAGCAGACCCCAGACAGCGGTCCAGGAGACCCCAAACAGCGGTCCAGCAGACCCTAGACAACGGTCCAGCAGACCCTAGACAGCGATCCGGCAGACCCCAGACAGCGGTCCAGGAGAGACCCCAGACAGCGGTCCAGCAGACCCAGACAGTGGTCCAGGAGAGACCCCAGACAACGGTCCAGCAGACCCAGACAGCGGTCCAGCAGACCCAGACAGCGGTCCAGCAGACCCCAGACAGCGGTCCAGCAAACCCCAGATAGAGGGCCAGCAGATCCCAGACAGCGTTCCAGCAAACCCCAGACAGCGGTCCAGCAAACCCCAGACAGCGGTCCAGCAGACCCCAGACAGCGGTCCAGCAGACCCTAGACAGCGGTTCAGCAAACCCCAGATAGAGGGCCAGCAGACCCCAGACAGCGGTCCAGCAGACCCCAGACAGCGGTCCAGGAGAGACCCCAGACAGCGGTCCAGCAGACCCCAGACAGCGGTCCAGGAGACCCCAAACAGCGGTCCAGCAGACCCTAGACAACGGTCCAGCAGACCCTAGACAGCGATCCGGCAGACCCCAGACAGCGGTCCAGCAGACCCCAGACAGCGGTCCAGCAGACCCCAGACAGCGGTCCAGCAGACCCCAGACAGCGGTCCAGCAGACCGCAGACAACGGTCCAGCAGACCCCAGACAGCGGTCCAGCAGACCGCAGACAGCGGTCCAGCAGACCCCAGACAGCGGTCCAGCAGACCGCAGACAGCAGTCCAGCAGACCGCAGACAGCGGTCCAGCAGACCCCAGACAGCGGTCCTTCCAAAGAACTCGTAAAGTAGACTGGTGATTAGCAGCGCCCCCTTCCCAGCCTGAGTGTAACGAGGCTACGACACGACACGACACGGCAGTGGTGCACGAAATACGAGTCCTCAACACGAAAAGCCACAACAAGTCCTCCTCGACCCGAAAGGCCCCACGAAATAGGTCGTGAAACATAAGCCGCACGAAACAAGACCTCGGCACACGAAAGACCTTCGCTACTCGAGAATAACAATAATCCCTCACTGAGCAATTTGTCCAGAGCGTAATTACAGCGACAATAGAATCCAGCACCAATTACACTGCTCGAGAGACCCTCATCAGGGCGAGTTTTATTACGCTATTGCTTTCAGCGCCAATTTCTTACTGCCGGTGACGAGTGGCACCCTTGGGGGGGGGCTTGATGCACCCTTGGGGGGATGGGGAGGAGGGTTCAAAGGGGAGAGGGGGTCGTTAGGGGGACAGGGGAAGGGTGGGGTGACGGTTGTTCCTGTCGAGCTCTTGCAAGATTGACGGGGCTTTGTCACCGGCTGTGTTTTCACTCTGTCAGTGTTCCTTACTTTTTCTTCCTGGTGCTGCTCCTTCTCTTTATTGTCTTCTTTCTTATTCTCCAGCCCAACCACTTGGGCTGGACGGTACGGCGACGGTCTCGCGTCGTGCAGGTCGGCGTTCAATCCCCGATCATCCAAGTGGTTGGGTAACATTCCTTCCCCTCCGGTCCCATCCCAAATCCTTATCCTGACCCCTTCCAAGTGATATATAGTCATAATGGCTTAGCGCTTTCCCCTTGATAGTTCCTTCCTTTCTCATTCTCCAACAGTGGACATTTAAAGTGGATATATATATTGCTTAACATATTTATTGTCGTTTATAACATGTATTGGGTTGCAACATGTCCGTCTCCCCGTGTCTTAATGGGACCCAACACCCTGGACGCACTTCCCTGGCACTGGAGGCACTCAGTTGGCTCTCCCACAGTTATTGGTAATATTGATTTTTGCATCTTCTCACAGTGATACAAAAAATATCACCGCTCGCTAATGCTATGTACAGTAGTCAGAAATGCCCCGAGGAGGAGTTATTGTTATTTCCAGAATATTAGTGGCCAATATAATGTAGAGGATGTTGACCAGACCACACACTAGAAATTGAAGGGACGACGACGTTTCGGTCCGTCCTGGACCATCATCAAGTCGATTGTGATAATGGTCCAGGACGGACCGAAACGTCGTCTTCGCTTCAATTTCTAGTGTGGGGGTTTGGTCAACATTTTTCAGCCACGTTATTGTGACTTTTCATCTGCAATGTAGAGGATATTAAACGTAGTGCAAATTAGTGCAGATTGACCGGATGATGTACAAACAATAACAGTTGAGAGAATCGCCAATTTTCATTACCAAAGGTATTAATGGTTACAATGAAACAAACGGGAAAGATAACGCCTAGCTATGTTAGTGTGTGTGTGTGTGTGTGTGTGTGTGTGTGTGTGTGTGTGTGTGTGTGTGTGTGTGTGTGTGTGTGTGTGTGTGTGTGTGTGTGTGTGTGTGTGTGTGTGTGTGTGTGTGTGTGTGTGGAGGCAGATATTCATCGCGCAATCACGGGGGAAATAGATTCGTGCTAAATGGAGTAGAAAGTTGACAGGCGTGGTGACGATGAGTGGTGTACCGCAAGGGTCGCCTATAGGGCCCATCCTGTGACCTGCATCACCCACATCAACGATATCGACTGTTCTTCACATGTACGAGAATGTTAGTAGCTCAAGGCCCAACGACCAAGCACCTACACTAATTTTTCTGGCACTCAAAAGAATACAAAATGGTTTTCAGCGTCATAGTTGCTATATATTGGTAAGCCCACTTTGCTGCCAATATAAAATGACCAGGAACGTGGTATAACAGTCGCCAAATATTGCAGAAGCACAATAATGTCATTCAGTCGTTTAAGTAAAACAAGTCTTTTAATAATACTCTGTAATAAAGCTTTCAATTTTGTCTTCCTGGGTTGTAGGTGTTATTTAAAGATATTATATTTCTTCAGAATATATTAAATAGATGTTATTTCCCTGAGCCTTTGCTTCGACCTTTGTCTCAGCTTAAGGAAGAGGCAAAGGAAAGTTAAGCCTTTAAGATTACACTTTCTTTAAGGCACCAGAAGGCTGCCTTCAGGACTCATGTGTTACAGCTCTAGAGAAGTAGTCGACAGCCTTTTTTTCAGGCACTCTCAAGACATCTTACCTAAGCTGTCTGAGGCAGAAGTCTAAGCAAAGTCTGAGGGGGAATAACAGTCTTTTTTTTCTATACTTTGGCGCCATAAACAATCAGAAGTGAACACCACCGAGGAACAAAAAGTGTGTTACATTGTGTAATCGATCATTTTCTTCAATACAATTTCAAGAAATTGGTTATTTAGTTTGACAGCTCTTTTGAACGACCCAATTTTGATTATTGTATTCGAGCAGGGACCGCTCGCCCTTGAAAAGAAATGATCTCACGTGAAAATATTCAACATGGGTGACAAGCAAAATATCGTTCAGGAAATGCCACCTTTCTCAGCGAGAGCGGCTGGGGCTACAGGTATGGCAACTCTTTAGACAATGCACTACAGGTATGGCAACTCTTCAGACAAGGCACTAAGACTATATATCTGCCGGTTGTCAAGCAAGATTGCAATTTGGAGTGTTTTGAAGGAAGAGTGGCAATCATGCTCGTGCAATTGAAACATTCATCTGGTATAGTCACACGCCCCGAGGGGCTACACTATACTACCCTCGGGGTATCGAGAGTAGAAGTGGCATCAATATCTACCACCTTATAAACAAATCCTTGGGTTATATTCATAACTTTCATTAGTTATTCATGAAAGTTATTCATTATCGGTGCTAATTATCTATCAAGGTATCTCTAAGATAATCATCTCAGCGGTTATCTCCCAGGTATCATGTTGTTAGTTATCCATCAGAGTATCTGGGAGACGGGGATGGGGGGGGGTGGGGGAGGGGGTCACCTAATTGCATGAATTTTGCCCTAGTGAGGGCCACATAAATTCTCTAATCATTACCTGGGATGATAAGCAAGAGATTAGTCCCCTCCCCCTCTAAACCCAACCCCTCCCCCCCCCCTCACGACACCTCCCATCTTTTTCTCAATTAATAACGCCCATCAAAAAGTTTGTAATAGGTGAGGAGGCTGTCATTAACTGCAACCTTCGAAATGATGTCAGGTTTCCTTACGCCCCTTTTCCCCCCTTCTCCCCCTCCTGTTCTGTCCTTTTTCCCAGTCACCTCAGGCCCCCCCCCCTCCCCTCTTGTGATTTTCCTTACCCCTTTCCGTCCCTCTTCCACGCCCAGCCATTCTTGAATTAATGTGTCTCTTTTACCTTGAGATCTAGCTGCCTTCTTCTGTCCAGTGGTGTGCCTCATTTATTTTGTCCTTCTGTTATTGACTCTTATGTTGCTGCCCCCCCCCCCTCCCTCTCTTCTCTTGCTGCTCCCGTTCCTTCTCTTGCTGTGCCCCTGCTTTCTCTTCCTGTCCCCCTCCCTTCTCTTGCTTTCCCCCTTCATTCTCCTGCTTCCCCCCCTCCCACCTCCTCTCCAACTGCCCCGCCACCTCACCCTGTTCTACATCCTTCTCCTGCCCCTTCTCTTCCTCCTCCTCCTCCTATCTTTCTGTCCTCACTCCTCCGGGTCCTCTGCCACCCCCTCCCCTCCCCCCTCTCACCACTTTTCTCCCTCCTGCCTCATCACGCTCGCCTCTCACTCATTAAATGCTCCCTCATCGCTTCCTTGCGCGACCTGACCTCCACTTTACGTAAGTAAATCCTCCCCCCCCCCCTCCCCCTCCCCCCTATGCCCCCACCTCCTCATTGACCCCGTTTTTTGTGTATTTTTTTGTTTTTTATCTTCGTTTGACGGGTATCAAGTGTCATGCGAGGCTGTCGTTAGTCGCAGAGTTATTAAAAGGCGGTAGACAAGCTTCGTGCGAGAGGGGGGGGGGGGGAGGTGGTGATGTCTGATGCAAGGAGAAGGAAGGGGGGGGGGGAAGAGGGAGGGTCGAAGTCCTTGGACCATATATATATATGGTAAATTAATCTTACAGTATAAGTCCTTCCCCCTCCCCCTTCCATCCTCTCCCCTTCTATCCCTTCCCCCCATCTCGTCCCCCTGGGGGGGGGGAATTGCTGGTTCAGCCGGCCATAAATATTTTGTTATATATTTCTCTCCTTGTAGACGCTGTGATCTCCAAAGGTGTCACTGTGATGGTGGGAGTCACCTTTGACCTCTTG